TTCAGAGCCTCACCTGGGCTGCTGCCCCTGTTACCTCCTCCCAAGCTAAGACCTCCCCTGTTGGTCTGGGCCTTCCGCAGTCATCAGTGCTTACCCAGCCTGTGTCCGTTTCCCTGTGTCCCTGCTCCCTGCTGTTCACGGCTAACTAGACGTGATCACCTATCCCGGGGCCGGTGTGAGTGAATGCATCTTAACCGATGTTGCCCTCCTGCAACACTGATTCACTAAATATAAATTTAAGTACTTTCTGCAAATCTTCTGGAGACTATTTCTTAGCCCAAGGGAATAATGGATGTGGAAATTTATGACTATGGAAAAATGTAGGGGGATTAAAGATAAGATAGGGGCATTTACTTATACTTGAGATAGGCTGTAGAAGTCACAATAACCCTAAGATAGATAGGAGTGAGGCAAATTTTTACAAATGAAGAATCTGTGGATAAGAGAGCTTAAAGGGCTTTCTCTCAAGGGTCAAAGAGTTAGTGAAAGACCCACCAGGATTTTCCAAGTCTAAAATTGCAAGCCCATCACCTCTCATAGAAGAAATGAGTACTAGGGTTAATAAAACATGGGGTGGGGGAGCCTGGAGAGACGAGGATTCCCCTAACATTTGCACTGAATCCACTCCCGCACTTTCCTTTTTTTCTGATAAGGGGTTGGTTCATTTTTTGTTTTTATTGAAATATAGTTTATTGACCATGTTCTGTTAGTTTCAGGTACACAATAAAGTGATACATATATTCTTTTTTTAATATATATTCTTTTTTTAACAGTCCCTTCCATTATAAGTTATTACCAGATATCAAGTATAGTTCCTTGTGCTATGTAGTAGGCCCTTGTTGTTCACGTATCTTATATATAGTAGTTTGTATATTTTAATCCCAAACTCCTGGTGTATCTCACGACCCCTCTTTTGGTTACCATAGTTTGTTTTCTATGTCTGTGAGTCTATTTCTGTCATAAACAGGGTTTTTTTTTAAATTTCACATGATACAAGCGACATCACAAGTGTAGAAGTGATACATGACACTTGTTCACCCCCTCACTGTTACTCCTTCCCCAAGTAGGAGTAGGCTACCCACTCCAGTATTCTTGGGCTTCCCTGGAGGCTCAGAGGGTAAAGCATCTGCCTGCAGGGCGGGAGACCTGGGTTTGATCCCTGGGTAGGGAAGATCCCCTGGAGAAGGAAATGGCAAGCCACTCCAGTACTCTTGCCTGAAAAATCCCATGGATGGAGGAGCCTGGTAGGCTACAGTCCATGGGGTCGCGAAGAGTCGGACACGACTTTCACTTTCACTCTTAACCTGGCAAAGCCCTAGGCTGAAGGGTGGAGCTGAAGCCATCAAAGCAAGAAGCCAGGCAGTAGGGACCCCCCTGAGCCAATGGTGGGTGAGAACATCTCAGGTGTTCCCTGGACCCAGGCAGCCACCTCATCTGAGAGCTCAGAGGTCCAAACCAGCTGGTTCTGACTCAGGACCTCAACAGGGCCGCTTCTCCAGGCTTCACCCTGGGCCTCACTGAAGCACAGATGGCCAGTGAGCAAGCTTCAGCCTCACAGCTGGTGGTGACTTACAACGCCAATGCCCTTCTGACACTGGCATTTTCATAGCTGTCTTCACATGGCCACACTGGAGCGAGGAAGAGATGTTCGAGAGAGAAGCACGGCCTTTCCTAGACCCAGAGAGTTTTTTATCTCAAGCGCTATTTTTCTATTTTCACATAAGCCTTCCCACGAACGCTGCTTCTCAGTTCTTCCCTCGGTGGGAAGGGCTCGCTGGCCTTCTCGGCCCCCTGCCTGCCTCTTTGCAGCAAGTCCACTTAGCCTCAGCTGGGGCTCCTAATTAGGCAAGGGTTCCAGCTAATGGGCCCCCTTGGCTCTTCCCCAGCCCAGGTTGGAGGCTGGGAGGGGGGCGGGTGTCCCTAATGCCCTTTCTGCTGCCTCCTCCTCCTGACTCAGGGCCCCCCTCCTCCACCCCAGCCCCACCTCCCAGCTCCTCAATCCTGCCTTGGATTTCTCTGTTTCAGACCCAGTGCCTCTGACTACTACACTCCTGCTAGCTTCAGAAAAGATATTAATACATTAGTTTTGTCCTCTACACCCCCATCCCTGGCACATGGGATCATCATATCTCACCTACCCAAGCACATGGTGAGAGGGAAGGGGCCTCGGGCTGAGAGCGAGGTGACTCAGATGTGACCCCAGCTCTGCCTTACTCGGGACACATCGTCTCTGAGCCTCTGTTCACTCACCTGAGAGAGGGGGAGGAGACTAAGTCCTGCCTGACTCCCGAAGCTCTTGTGAAAGTCAAATAAAACCACATACTTAGAGGGGCCAGTAACTAATATTCCCATCCTCCCTTTTTGAGCTTAGTACTGGTTAAGAAAAAAGACAAAAATGAAGCAGTGGAGAGTTTAAATTAGTTTAGGGTACTTCCCTAGCAGTCCAGTGATTAACACTCCATGCTTCCACTGCAGAGGGTGCAAGTTTGATCCTTGGTTAGGGAACTAAGATCCCACGTGCCTCACACTGCGGCAAAAAAAAAAAAAAAAAAAAAAACCCTTATTTTTAATTGGAGGATAATTGCTGTACAATGTTGTGTTCATTTCTGCCATACATGTGTTGGAGAAGACTCTTGAGAGTCCTTTGGACAGTGAGGAGATCCAACCAGTCCATCCTAAAGGAAATCAGTCCTGAATATTCATTGGAAGGAAGGACTGATGCTGAAGCTGAAACTCCAATACTTTGGCCACCTGATGCAAAGAACTGACTCATTTGAAAAGACCCTGATGCTGGGAAAGATTGAAGGCAGGAGGAGAAGGGAACAACAGAAGATGAGATGGTTGGGTGGCATCACCGACTCAATGGACATGAGTTTGAGTAAACTCCAGGAGTTGGTGATGGACAGGGAGACCTGATGTGCTGCAGTCCACAGAGCTGCAAAGAGTTGGACATGACTGAGAGACTGAACTGACTGAATAATAAGCAATGTTGAGCATCTTTTCATGTGTTTGTTAGCTATCTGTATGTCTTCTTTGGAGAAAAGTCTGTTTAGGTCTTCTGCACATTTTTTGCTTGGTTTTTTTGTTTTTCTGGTATTTATTGAGCTTTGAGCTGCTTGTATATTTTGGAGATTAATCCTTTTTAGTTGCTTTATTTGCAATTATTTTCTCCCATTCTAAGGGCTGTCTTTTCATCTGGTTTATAGTTTCCTTTGGTTTCCTTAAGTTTAATTAGGTCCCACTTGTTTATTTTTGGTTTTATTTTCACTACTCTAGGAAATGGGTCAACGAGGATATTGCTGCAATTTATGTGAAAAAGCATATTGCCTTTGTTTTCCTCTAAGAGTTTATGGTATCTGGCCTTACATTTAGGTCTTTGATCCACTTTGAGTTTATCTTTGCATATGGTGTTAGGAAATGTTCTAATTTCATTCTTTTACATGTAGCTGTCTAATTTTCCCAGCACCACTTGTTGAAGAGACTGTCTTTTCACCATTGTATATGCTCGCCTCCTTTATCAAAAGTGAGGTGCCCATCGGTGTGTGGGTTTATCTCTGGGCTTTCAGTCTTGTTCCATTCGTCTATGCTTCTGTTTTATACCAGTATCATACTGTCTTGATGACTGTAACTTTGTAGTGGAGACTGAAATCAGGAAGGTTGATTCCTCCAGCTCTTTTTCTTTCTCAAGTTTGCTTTGGCTATTTGGGGTCTTTTGTGTTTCCATACAAATTGTAAAATTTTTTGTTCTTGTTTGGTGAAAAATGTCATTGGTAATTTGATAGGGATTGCATTGTATCTGTAGATTGCTTTTGGCAGTATAATCATTTTCACAATATTGATTCTTCTAATCCAAGAATATGGTAGATCTCTCCATCTGTGTGTCATCTTTGATTTCTTTCATCAGTGTCTTATAGTCTTCTGCATATAAGTCTTTTGTCTCCTTTAGTAGATTTATTCCTAGGTATTTTATTCTTTTTAGTGAGCAAGATGTTTTCTTTAATTTCTCTTTCTGACTTTTTATTATTAGTGTATAGGAATGCAAGGGGTTTCTGTGTATTAATTTTTAAATTGTTTTAAATTTTAAGTTTTTTTTAATAAAATAAAACAAAATCAGTTCAATTGGTAGAGAACCTGGATTGAATTTGTGGTCAGTGAAGCTAATAAGTCCCTCCTGCATTCATGCATGGCGCTCGGGGCTGAGGGATATACCATTTTTAATTTCCAAGAATCGCCCAGGAGACCCAACACAGGCGCGATTCTTATCTGTTACAGAAGAGGAGCTGAGGCCCAAGGAGGTCAGGAGTCCTGCCTGAGCTCACACCACAAGCAAGCTGCACAGCTGGGTTCTGAGCCCGTTAGCTGATTGCAAGGCCCAGGTTCTTCCTGCCAGCTTACAGGGGGGACGCTTTCCTGCCACTGGAAGCAGTGGCACTGGAGAACAGTGTTGACCAATGGGTAAGTGTCCAGTTTTCAGGGCCATTTCTCATGCATTATCTCACTTTATTCATTCAGCTATTCAGCAAATATGTGTTGAGCATGCCTGTATGCTGGACAATCGGCTGAGGGCATGGCAAGAAGGAACCCAAAGTCCCTGCCCACAAAAAGCATACATTCTAGTGAAGTGACAGACCCCAAAGAATTATCTATAGAAGGAAAGACAGGTAGGTGGATCTAGGCCTAGCCATAGACAATCTCAGTGAAAACATGAAATCAGGATTAAAGGATGGACAGAGAGCCTCAAAGGAAGTGAGAGAATGTGAGTATCAGAGGAAGGGCATTCCAGGCAGAAGGAACAGCAGATTTCTTGAGAAGGCGGCAGTACAGTGATAAAGGACTAGTAATAGCACATGGTGACTGCAAAAGAACAAGAAGGAGGATGGTAAGAGGTGAGGTCTTAGAGCTGGGGAGATGGAGAAGGGAACATGAAGCCTTATGAGTCATGAGAAACACTTGATGTTTTTTCTTAAATGTGTTGGAATCTGAGAGATTATGGAGGGATTATGGACCAAGTGAGTGGCTTGATTTGATTTACGTTCTTAAAATACAGCTGCAGCTGTTATGGTGAGAACAGGTTCTAAAGGGTAAGAAGTAAGAATGGAAGCAGAATCATAGTCCACTTATAAAGCTAGAATATTTCATCTGACAGATGAGAATGGAGATGCTGGGAAGTGTTTGGATTCTAAATCTATTGCAAAGGTGGAATCAACAGGATTGGGCTTCTCACAACCCACTTGTGAAGGCAACAGGGTGAGTTTTATCTGCAGAAGCAGAAAAGGAACCCAAAACCTAGAGCAGGGAGGGGAGGATGAGTGTGCACATGGGAGGTGACCAGTCCATGAGAGTTGAGCCTGCTCTGGCAGCAGCTCCCTGACCCTGGCCAGGGACCTCTGCATCAGAGGCATCAGAGCAACCAGAATGTCCCTCTGGAAGTCCAGTAACCAGCCTCAGAACTGTCTTGGTTCCCCTCCCCCATTAAGATGGCAGGCCAGATGCACCATCTAAAGCTTGCTGTGTATTTTTCAAATGACATTTCCTCAGTAGTAAATAGCACCACACGCCACTTCAATGCAAGATGATAGAGCAAAGGCACACGGCTGGGGGAGGTGCTTCAACGCCCTCACATTCAGGGAGCCACACTATGTGTCACACCAAGAGGCTAGGGATGCTTCATTTCAGCTCATGTTTCTGAGCATTTGCTTGCCAAGCGTTGGCTGGGGGGCCAAGCTGTGCATCACAGGACACTGTGCTCTTAGCCTGGTGGTAGCAAGGGGGGCTGGAGGACACGGGAGAGAGAGCAAAGGATGGAGCCAGGAGTGAGGGAAAGGGCCGAGAAAGGCCTTCGGTGAGTGCCCTGAACAGGGCCGGGGCACAGCAGCGTGCGGGCAGAGGCACGCCGGTGTGCGAAGGCATGGGCCCCGAAGGTCCTGTGCGAGGGAGTCTGCGGAGCCGGGGCCCCGAAGGTCCTGTGCGAGGGAGTCTGCGGAGCCGGAGCGACGCGAGCTGCAGCAGAAACAACTGATGCTTCCTGAGCAATGTTCCAGGCAAGCCCTGCACAGAGAGCCTAAAGGTCACTCGGCCCTCCCTACAGTGGGAAGCAGCCCTGCCGTAAGGGGTGAGGAAGTAGGCTCGGAGAGTTTAAGTGACTTGACCAACCAAGATTATTTACTAAAAAGTAAAATTTAAGTTTTTTTTTTTTTAATTTATTGAAGTATAGCACACACACAGGAAAGATTACAAATCTTAAGTGTTACAAAACAGAAGCTGACTCACAGACTTAGAAAACAAATTTATGGTTTTCCAAAGGGGAAAACGGGAGGGGGAATAAATTAGGACTTTGGGATTAACATACATACGCTACTATATCTAAAATAAATAACCAAAAAGGACATACTATATAGCACAGGGAACTCTATTCAATATTCTGTAACAAGCTAGATGGGAAAAAGAATTTGAAAGAGAGTAGCTATTTGTGTATGTATAACTGAGTCACTCTGCTATACACCTGAAACTAACACATTGTCAATCAGCTATGCTCCAGTACAAAATAAAAAGTAAATGAAAAGTTTAAAAAATGTATTGAAGAATAGCACACTATGAAAAGATTAGAAATCCTAAGTATATAGGTAGATAAATCATCACAAAGAGACTACACCCAGGTTCCCACCAGTCAGGTCCAGAAACCAAATCTCACCCTTCTGAAGTCCCTCTCCAGCCCCTTCCCCAAACTTTCCTTTCCCTTCTTCCCGAAGCTAAGCACTCTGCTGCCTTCTGAGTCCATAGGTTTGTTTTCAGACTTGAGATTTACACCCAGGTTTGTGGGATCCTGAGGCCAGGGTTTTAGTGGATGCAGGAGTGCACAGATGGAATTTCCCCGGTCCGGCTGGGTCTGCCCACCATTGCCAGAGCCGTTTTCTTCAGCCACATCCCACCCCGTGCCATTCTTACAATGTCCTTGGCACCAGAAGACAGGGGACAGCTCTGAAGCAGACCCTGGAAGCAGGTGTGGGAGCTGCCTGCCTCCAGGCGGGGTCCCTCCCTGGGCTCGGCGATAGGATCTGCAGCTAGACTGTAGGTCGGTGAGGTTCCCCACATCCCATCTTCAGAAACACGTGATTTAACAAGTCTGTCCTTTAGGAAAGAGCAGACCAACAGCCCTGACTAGTGTCCTTGAACAGATTTAACCATATTCTCAAAGCTAAGAGTTTTATTTTGAGAAACATGAAGAAAACTATACAGTCGCTGCAAAATAGAAAGACTCCAGTTTGTCAACAGGACATTATGACACAGTCTCCATTCCCCCATCGAGACCCCTAGTCTTTGTTCTGGTACAAAAACAAAAAAGAAGCATAGACTTTGCTGAGACAGTGATCAGCTTGGGCTCTTCTGAAGCCCCGAGTAACACAGCTCTGACATGCCCTGCTCCTTCACCCCCAATCATATTTCGGCCAAATCCTTAATGCAGAATCCTACGGCCCACACACTCTTGACAAATCTTACTTTTTGTGTGTCCTTTCACTCAGGACCAGATCAACCCCCGACTGTCTCAGGCAGCACCCATCAAGGCCCTGCTCCCTTTCCCTGGCCATCCTGACTGGATGGAATCAGTCTAGTGAAGGACTGTTTCTCCCTGTGAAGCCGTTGTGAGTTCCGGGAGGGGCCCCTTGAAGGGAGCCAGGCAGGGCACAGAGCTGGGTAAAGTCAAAGAACCGCAGGCGGAGGGGAAGCTCGGTGAGCAGGGACTCTAACGTGCCGTTGTAATGGAAACTGTCCCAAACAGGGCTGTTACTGGGAACACGAGGCCCAGGTCAGGTGGCCAAGGTAACTGTTTCCCGGTCAGGCGAGCAGGGGCCTCTGAGGGGCTAGGTGAGTGGAGAGCGGTGCAGCATTGCAAGGCTATCCAGTGGGGGAGAGTGTGGAGAGTTCTTGCAAAGACTGGCAAGAACCCAACCCTGGGGACGCAGGCCACAGAGGAGGCAGCAGCGTGTAAGGTACAGAATTGAAGTTCTGCAATCAGAAAAACACAGGTTCCAATCCCAGCACCTCTGTGCATTGCCAACTTAGCATAATTTACTTAACCTCTCCTAAACCTCAGTTCCCTTATGGAAAGTGGGGTAATCTAATCCATGTCTTAGAAGTCAAGTGACATTTAAAACAAAATAATGTATTCAAGTGACAGACACTTGTAGAGGCTAGGTACATGGTTGGTGAATGAAAAGATTAGGAGAAATTTCAATTTTGCCCCCAGTGGAATTGTGAAGCCTAGCATGTTGGAGAATGGAAGAAGCATGTAGGAGACCGTGTGAGCGTACAATGCCACGGCCGGCACACACACTCACCCACAACTAAATGTCTGCAGGGAAATCTCATTTTAACTGAAGCTTTAAAAGCACTGGTTGTGATCAAATGGATTCACACGTTGTTTTTAAAATAGACTCTGGTGGCAAAACACACACACACACACACACACAACACCTGAGAATCCCCACAGGGGATAGGGCAGAAAAGTAACTATGGTGCCATGTTTTCCTTGATGGGACAGGAGGATAGCTATGGTGACATGTCTCCAGGCTGTCCTCTTCCCTTGGACCATGGGAAGATACCTGGTGTCTCCCAGCAGCTGGAGGACTTGGTCCCCTTCCCTCTACAGGGAGTGGGACAGGAAAACCATCACTAGCCTTCATCACATTGGTCCTGAAAAGGGACAGAGGCTTTTCCTCCTGAGAGCTTGTTTCAGGGGACAGGACGGCCTCACACTCCCCCACACAGCCCTACTCCACCCTCGATGTCATTTTCTTCAAGGCCCCTGCATGAGGAAGGAAAAGAGACCCTCTCCCCAGGCGGAGGCAGACCCCTCCCACAGCACCTGAAGTAGGAACTCCTGCCGCGGAAGACCCCCTCTCCTGGGCCAGGCTGCACCAGGCCCAGGAAACATTAAAGCACAAGGCTTAGCCCAGCACTTCAACGACACTGCCATCTCCTTGGCTCCGAACCAGCTGGAACCATTAACCAGTGGTGGGCCCCCTCTTGCAGAAGAGTTTACATTCTAATCGGTCCAACCGATGCCCAAGTGGGCCTAGCTTCTCCTGAAGGGATTTTAGAGAAAGTATATGAACAATGGTTTTAATGCCTCCCAAGTCTATGGCCCTTATGAACTTTCAAAGCATTCTGACATTTATCACTTCACTTAGGTGTGACACAACTCTGGGAGGTGGTAAGAACCAGGACTGTTGTTTGGTTGCTAAGCCTTGTCCAGCTTTTTGCAACCTCATGGATTGTAGCACGCCAGGCTTCCTTATCATTCGCTATCTCCCGGAGTTTGCTCAGATTCATGTCTACTGAGTCGGTGATGCCATCCAAGCATCTCATCCTCTGTTGGGCTGGCATTATGCTCCCTAAATGAAATTGAGGCTTAGAGAACAGTTGATCCAGGGTCACATAACTAGTCAACTGCAAAGAAAGGCCGAGGGGGAAAACCCGATGGGAACAACAACATAGATAACATGAAACAACTGTGTGAAGACGTTGGGTGAAACTGGGAGGGGGTGACCCGCTACCAGAGGCTTCTGTCTCACAAACTGACCAGCCTGAGTCCTGACGGGAAAAGATCAGTGGTTCTTCCTTCTTGAGACTCCTTGGGTGTAACTTGAATCAGCCAACTCTGTGTCTATACATGAGTGACTACTGGCCATTTATGAGGTCCCTAAAAGCAGAAAAGGATTGGCAGAGTATCTGGCACATGACAGGTGTTCAATGTTTTTGAATTGGCTCTTTCAGTTGTTCTGAAAATTAAAGCAGGGCTTGTGTGTTGTGGCTCATTCTCGCCATCTAGTGGCCAATTCTAAGAGAAACAGAACAGATGGAGCTGAGTTCCCCTAGGCAATCAGCAAGACGAAACCAGTCAATCCTAAAGGAAATCAACCCTGAGTATACATACATTTGGACTTCCCCAGGCTCAAGCAGTCAAGAACCTGCCTGCAATGCAGGAGACACAGGAAACGCAGGTTCGATCCCTGGGTCAGGAAGATCCCTTGGAGGACTAAATGGCAACCCACTCCAGTATTCTTGCCTGGAGAATCCCATGGACAGAGAAGCACCTGGGGTCTAGTCTGTGGGGTCACAAAGACTCAGACACAACTGAGCAACTAACAATTCAACAGTTCAGGGCCAGTGCTAGCATGAGATGCGCACATAGTTTTAAAATGTCATGGAAATCTGTCTGAGTTTTTCTTGACCAGAAGAGTGGGCTGTGGCCTGGGTGTGGCTGTGCTGCCGGATTGGCTTGTTATTGTTGTTCAGGTGCTAAGTCCTGTCCAGCGCTTTGTGACCCCATGGACGATCTCCTGGAATTTGCTGTCTTTCACTATCTCTTGGAGTTTGCTCAAACTCATGTCCATTGGGTTGGTGTTGCAATCTAACCATCTCATCCTCTGCCACCCCCTTCTCCTTTTGCCTTCAATCTTTCCCAGCATCAGTGTCTTTTCCAATGAGCTGGCTCTTCATATCAGGTGGCCAAAGTATTGGAGCTTCAGCTTCAGTATCACTCCTTCCAATGTAAACACACATGGGTGCTCAGTCAAGTCTGACTCTCTTGCAGCTCTATGGGCTATAGCCCACCAGGCTCCTCTGTCTATGGGATTTTCCAAGCAAGAATACTAGAGTAGGTTGCCATTTCCTTCCCAACCCAGAGATCGAACCCATGTCTCCTGTGTCTTCTGCGTTGCAGGCAGATTCTTTAAAAATATGTGTGTATCTCATGGCAGCACTGGCCCTAGCTCCAAAACAGAAGTCAAATAAACGGCCAACTACTGAGACTCAGTTATGTGGACAAGTATTGATTCTATGCAGGAGAGCCCATGAAGATACATGAAAGGCACATTTCCAGCTCCTGGGATTTAAGAGCTTACGCTTTAATTCCACACCCTAGACATCCCAGCACACTCACATGCTTAGAAAACTGGAAGTTTTAGGACTCCAAGTAACATTCGGTCCTGTAGACAAAGTGAAATTTTTTTCTGGGGAAAAAACATTTGAAAAGACCAATAGGATACTTTTATATTCAGAAAAATAGAAAACTCTCTTGTTACAAAATACTAGAAATTCTAGATAAAATACAAATATATGTGTGTGTGTGTGTGCGTGTGTATATATAGTTAATGCATAGTTGAATACATAAGAAAATTATAACTTTTTACAGTGGCCAAGAATAGAAACTGAAAATATAAGGATAAGACACTGAAGAAAATCAACAAACAGATTTGTAATAAAGTGAAATAGTTTTTCTAAAAGCTAAAAATATGGTCAGCAAGGGAATTCTCTGGTGATCCAGTGCTTAGAACTCTGTGCTTCCAGGTTCTGTACCTGGTCGGGGAACTAAGATCCTGCATGCTGCACAGCGGCGGCCTAAATAAATAAATAAAAATATGGTCAACGAAGTTAAAAACTCAATGGGCAGGTTTTAGACAGCAGAATAGATCTGAGACACTTTGCAAAATTGTAGTTAAAAGGAAGAGAAATAGAACGGGAGTAAGAGGCTTAGGGGAAAAAGGTCCTAATATATGTAACTGGGCTTCCCTGGTGGCTCAGAGGGTAAAGTGTCTGCCTGCAGTGCGGGAGACCCAGGTTCGATCCCTGGGTTGGGAAGATCCCCTGGAGAAGGAAACGGCAACCCACTCCAGTACTCTTGCCTGGAAAATCCCATGGACGGAGGAGCTTGGTAGGCTACAGTCCACGGGGTCGCCAAGAGTCAGACACGACTGAGCGACTTCACTTTCACTTTCAATATATGTAACTACAGATCCAGAGGGAGAAAGGTGAGGGACACGTTAGAAAAGATAACTGCTATGAACTTTCCAGAAAGTATGACACACATAGATCTTGCCAATCAGGGAGCACAAGTAGGATAAATAAAAATAGATCCACATGTCGACACTTCTAGGTGAACTGCAGAACATCACAGACGAAGAGAAGCTATTCTTTAAAAAAAAAAACAGCAGAAAAATATGTTCAAAATGTTGAGAAGAAATAGACGGCTAAATTATCTTTCAAATGTGAAAGTAAAATGGAAAGTAAAATAGACATTTTCCAACAAAGAGCATAGCACTAACACCCTCTGTAAAAGCATCAGTAAAGGGTGTACTTTAGGGAAAAAATTGAATCTGGAACCAAGAAGAACAACACAAAAATGGAATAGTGAACAAAGGCATTAATAAAACTCTGTGAATACAAAACAAGCGCTGACAGCATAAAAAAGTAATGGTTTTTTAATAAAATAAATGGTTACTAATTTAGGGGATATAGAAGCAAGGTGGACATAATGGAAAAGATCTGAAGAAGAATACATACATATATATATATATGGGCTCCCCTAGTGGCTCAGAGGCAAAGAATCCGCCTGCAATGCAGGAGACCACCAGCAACACAGGAGATGAAAGATCAATCCCTGGGTGGGGAAGATCCTCTGGAAAAGGAAATAGCAATCATTGCAGTATTCTTGCCTGGGAAATCGCATGGACAGAGGAGCCTGGTGGGCTACAGCCCATGGGGTTTCAAGAGTCAGACATGAATTAGCGGCTAAACTATTACCACCAACATATATAAATATACATATGTCTTGAATCACTTTGCCCTACATTTGAAACACTGTAAATCTACTGCATTTCAATAAAATAGTTAAATATTAAAAATAAACATTTTTAATTTTTTTTTAATTAAAAAGTAAGGTGAAGGGCTTCCCTGATGTCTCAGTGGTAAAGAATCCACCTGCCAATGCAGAAAACACAAGTTCAGTCCGTGCTCCGGGAAGATCCCACGTGCTGGGGAGCAGCTAAGCCCGTGCGCCGCAGCTACTGAGCCTGCGCTCTAGGGCCCAGGAACTGCCGCTGCAGAAGGCTTGTGCCTGAAGCCCGTGCTCCGCAAGAGAAACCACCACAATCAGAAGCGCACAACAAGAGAGTAGCCCCCGCTTGCTGCAACTACAGAAAAGCCCTCGAAGCAATGAAGACCCAGCACAGACAAAAATAAAATAAATAAATAAAATTATTCTTTTAAAAAGCAAGATAGAAATAAAACTCTTAGCAACACTAACATGTAAGCTGGACTGTGCAATCAGAGTTATTAATAAAACTTTCTAAAGCTCTTCTATTGTTTGATAGAAGATTAGAGATTTTTTTCAATTTTAAAAGATAATCACCAAAGAAAAATACGTGCAATTTCCAAACCTGTAGAGATGCTGAAAGAGGATACAGAAATTTTAAGAACTTTTCATTAAATATGGTAGATGGAATCACTGTTTTATTTCTGTTCCCTCCTGAAAATACTCTAAAAATAGTACTAACATTAATAAGTGAATTTAGCAAGGTTGCAAGATAAAAGACCAGTATGCAAAAATCATTTCTATTTCTATATGCTAGCAACAAACAATAGGAAATCAGAATTTTAAAAATACTTTGGGGACTTCCCTGGTGGTCCAGTGGCTAAGACTCCATGTTATCAAAGCAAGGAGCCCAGGTTCAATCCCTGATCAAGGAACTAGATCCCACATGCTGCAACTAAGACCCAGTGCAACCAAATAAATAAATTTTAAAAAATACTATGTACAAAAGCACCACAAATTATGAAATACAAAGGAAAAAATCTGATAAAAATGTATAAAATCCATAAACTGAAAACTACAAAGTATTGCTGAGAGAAATCAAAGAAGAGCAAAATAAGTAGAGATATATACCTTGCTCATAGATCATGATGACATATTTAAGATCATTTAAAAATCAAAATGGAATAACTGATGTTCAGGCATTCGAAATGGAGCCAGGTGGCCACAGTGGATGTGGTTTCAGTCATGTTCTTGCATCACTGAGAACTTAAATCT